CCTGTTCGAAGTTTTAATTCTCGGTTTACTTGTTCAAAAGGCGTTACAGCATCCTCTTAGGTTTTGTTAAACATAAACTGTTCTCTCTTCGTCACATCTCAGTCTTATTAATGTTATTGTGTAGCACACGCGTCTGATAGTTGTCTCCACCACTTTGAGCTTCTCAACAATGGCTCATCAAATTCTGGTTGATGATGTTCTAAACTTGTTGAACAAATTCGGCATCCTTATACCATATAACAGTTGAGAATCTTTCTTTTTCTTGGCTATGGATAACGCATCTTTGTCAAATGTTGTCAGATCTCTCTTGACCTGGAAGGACTAGGATACTCTCAATGAACTCGTTATGGCCGATTCACTCCGATTGCTTGCTAGTATCATTAACCCGGAGTACCTTTTCATTTCCTGCGTCATACTGGAATCTGCCATGTTAATGCTCTTCATAGATCTAAAAGAAATGGGAATATTCCAATATTGATGCATGCCACATAATATTACGTTAGCTCGTCTTTTACTTATGGATCATTAGATGTGGATTTTCCAATACTTGACACACCTAGATATTTTCTAATCTTGAATTTTATTAAATGAAATTTCGTCATTTGTCAAATATAATTTACTTCCAGTCTTTTCTGTTTACTAACGACCGTGGAATGACGATCGGAGTAGATGCGATTGCAAAGTAACTAAAATTAACATAAAAGAAATACTAGTGAAAAATTAATAATAGCTGACAACGATTCGTTTAATTCAATATAATATTACTAATACTACTTGTATATATAAAAAGAAAAGAAATATCAGACCTGATGCAGGACTATCGGTAATAATAAGAAATGCATCCATGTATGGATGGATTTTACCGTCCAGTAGTATATGGTTCTTGTAGCTTAATCGATAAGTGCAGCTTAGTAGACTTCCCTCAGTGTAAAGGGATTTAAGTTCAAATCTGGCTGAGAGTTTATTTAGAATCCTTCTTTACTGGCGGTCGTAGAATGGCGATCTGAGTGGTTCCGACGGAAAACAACTGAAATTAATATGAAAGAAGCGCTAATAAAACTATTTTTTTACAATAAAAATAAATCTTTAAATAATTTAACTTTAATTACTTTTATTATATTCTGTACTAACAAATTCCGTCCTAAAAAAAATAAAATAAAATATTAATGATATCTTGCTATACAAACTGGTTAGAATAATTTCATCTTTGTTAAAAGGAAAGTTATGAAAAAAATTAAAAACAAGAAACTATAGAAAGTGACCCATTAATTTAAAAGTCCTTTTGTTTTATCTGATCAAATACAGCACAAACAACGTATAAAAGAATCACTTGTAACGCTAGTAACTTTCTCTTTTACAAAACTGTAACTGTTCGTGAGAGGAAAAGTAAATATAAATTCTAAATATTTCAAAACTTTCATGTTAGAGGATTTGATAAACACTAAGAAAATATTTTATACGATTAAGGAAAAAAAATGTTCAGTTTCTCTACCAATCTTTTTAAAAGCTTAATTTTATCTTTTCGATTTTATTTTATTTTGTTGTAAAATGCTAATTGATTATTGATTTTTATTCTTTTGTAATTACCGACTAACAATGTTCAAAGAAAAATATGTGCCTATAAAATTCTTGCAACTAGATGTTGGTCTGGATGTCTGTCTAACATCTGCGTTTTCTACATTTTATCTACACAAAAGGGTGCATATATTTTAATGGCACGTATGAAAAAGATTCTTGAGATTTTCATTTGTAAATCTGATGAATTATTTATACAGTTTACTTTTTCATTATATTTATCGGCTTTCTCTTTTTGTTGTTACTGTTTGGAATTTTAATACATAAAGGTTAATCAAAATTGAAATGAAACATTAAAAATTGTGTAACTTCTCGTATAATTAACGTAGTTTAGTAGTTGATTTATCCACAGCTTTTCGTCCTTAAAAAAAAACTAAATATTAATGAAGGAATTCTATTTTTAAATTCAATACCATTTGTTTTCATAGATGTGAATGGATTAGGCGTCGCTATTTGCCTATATGTTTAGTAAAGAAACAATAATCTTTGTGTAAATATTCAAGACATGAATAATATCTCAAGTGCGTTTAATCTGTGATAAAACATAATGACCAGTAATTGATAAATATCAACTTCTGTAATGAAGGTAAACTCCGATAAAATCGGAAGAAAGTGGAATCAGCCTCGTTGTTTCCATTAATGTCTTTGAAAAAGGAATAAATCTATCTCTTCTCCAGGCAGCTATATAGCAAGGTAGATTGGGCGCTCCAGATTTGGGTGAGTGACAGTATAGCAGATGTCAAAAGGGAAATGCTCCATTATCTTTTCTAACTCATGGCAATTCACTGATAATAAAGTCATGAAATCTGTGGAGAATCATGCCATTAAAAATGATACAAAGTAACTATGTACTTACAGGTGCTTAACTGAGGAAATATGTTTTGTTTCTTTTCGGGGTTTTTTCATTTGTTTTTTTTTTTTTTTTTTTTTTTCCTTCTTTTTTCTCTTTTTTCTTTTTCTTTTTCTTTTTCCTTTTCTTTTTTTTCTTTCCTTTTTTTCCTTTCTTTTATTCTTTTTTTTTGCTTTTTCTCTTTTCTTTTTGTTTCTTTTTTCTTTATTCTCTTTCTGTTCTTAAGGAAATTTTCCGACCATCTCTGCCTGATTTTATTAAGCCGACTCTGTTTTATAATTTCGTACCTACCCATCCCCAACAGCTCAAACAGGAAACAGCAATTATTATAGTCGGTTCAAGTTTTTAATTTAACTATTTAATGATTGTATTTTTAAAAATAGTGTTCCAGTGATTTTTATTGTTATTATTATTATTATTCATTTCAAAATTACCACGTTCCATTCTTTGATAAACTAAAAATATTTAGGTACCTACAACAAATCGCTAACAAGGGAGGTTACGTTATGAAAAAAACGGCCAAAATATAAGCAAAATACGAAATCCTCGTTAAAAATCTTAAATTTGGTTGGGAAATTTTATTTTTATATATATTTTTTTTTTACCTGTGAAAAACAAATTGATTTGGAAATTCTTTCAAAAATCAGATAATTGTCGGATTTTAATTACAAAATGAATTAAATTATTTTTTAAATATTTCTATTTTAGAAAATCTCGGTAAAAAAAATATTTAAAAAAAATAGTTACCCGACACTCCATTTAATTTTTATGAAATTTCCAAAAAATATTTTTTGTATCACTTAATGTTCATATTTTTTATAAGGACAAGTCTTTTAGTTAAACAGTACCTCCAGTTGTAGAAAATCTGCCCTAAATGGCAAAATAAAAAATGCAATAAAACTAAGGCATTTTTTATTAATTACAACAGATTTTAATTGCTTTTAGGAATAAAATATGTTAAGGACACTTATGTCTTCAGAACTGTTTTCATTTTTTTTAATTTAATTACAGTGTTTTATAAATTTTTAAATTTTTGTATTGTTTGTAGTGGTTAAGTGATAGTGTTAATTAAAAATGTATTTCCTTATAAATAGAAAAACTCAATTCAACGCCCCCGAGTATTTTAAAAATAATTTATTTTGCGTGTTTATAAATGTGTCGATTTTCGTAAATACGGACGTCCACACACAACTGTCAGATACTTATAATGAATTAAAAATTTACAGTTAATTTTCTCAATAAGCGTCTCTATATGTAGAACTTCAAAGCCAAAGTACAAAATTATTAGATTGATTAAAATATTTTCTTAAATTTTTAAGATTATTGTATAGTTAATGTACGCACACACACACACATATATATATATATATATATATATATATATATATATATATATATATATATATATATATATATATAAAGGCATACATGCTGTATTCCACAAGGAATTTTTCAGTTTTGTCCCCCTTAAATTTCAAAGACATCAGGTTGTCAAGAAATCACTCAACACGACAGACAAACACCATTTTCGTATTAAAAATACTCTTTTCTGTCATATTTTAAATTAAATGTGATATTTGTTTCAATTCAGATTAATTAAACTTTAAATCAGATATTTTTTCAAATATCGTTTTAGAAAAATATAGTTTATTTTTGAAAGGATTTTAATAAAATGAATTATTTTGTGTTAACAGCTGTAAATATGGACGAATTTATAGTTTTTACTAATAAGTAGAAATATAAATAATCCAATCTATTTAAATTCGGTTTGAAATAGACAAAAGTATTTTGCTTATTAATAATATTAAATTTAATCTACTAGCTTGGAATTGAAACTAAAATTAAAACTTCAAGAAAGATTTTTTTTTCATTTTTAAAATGCATTTTAAACTTAGGTATTGCTATTTTTCTTTTTATAACATTTTTAAATTTTTTAACTTTTGTCACGGCTCTCTTTTTCCTTTTTTTTTTTTCAGAAAACCCTTTTATTGCATATTGAGAACAATTCTGACCGCCCAATTAAGACTTGTTCGTTTTCTTATGAGTAAACTATAAATAATACGAGAGGATGCTGGAGGATAAAATCTGATCAAATGATGAAATGATAGAAATTTTTTATAGAGCTGTAAACTTTTCAGTACCCTTCGTATGTTTTATTGAATATTAAAAAAATGTAAAATAAAGAAAACATCAAAAGAAAGAAGCTCTATTTTTAACAACGTAGAGATGTGCATCTTTTTGAGAACTGACGTTCTCAAAAAGATGCACATCTCTACCATGATGGCATCAAAATCTATTTGGCTTATTTTCACAGTAAATTTAATTATTCCTTTTGTTGGTTATTATTAAACGAAAAAACTTCACAAGTTCTGCTGAACTTACTCAGTCAACAAACCATGATATTCAGTCGCCTGTTACTCACTATTTTCCTTTTTATATCATACGTGGAATAATTTAATAGTTTTTTTGTGACGACTTGTCTATCTTGATATTATCCGAATGATTATAAAGGATTATCACGCAGCGCACTTTAAAAGCACCTCGAATCAAGCAGTTATTCTTATATCTTAATAAAATGATTTTAAAAATATTATTCGTACTTTTAACCTTTTCCCTCCCATGTTCTTTCTCTGTGCATTCTGCCGCGTTAACTGATTTCTTTTTTAATTATAACCTTTTTTGTTTCTTTATTTTCATAAAGTTGGCTCAGCTCTCCATTCATATCTCTGTTTCTGACTTACTCTCTTTTATGCCTACTTTCTCGCTCGTCTTATCTTTTACGCATTCATATTTTACGTCATGCTATTCTATAACTTTCTCATTATCACTCTCTTCACACATCCATTCATTCAATCCCTCTTTCTTACTTTCCTGTTCTCTTTTCACCAACTTCAATTCACTCTCTCTTTCCCATCTTTTAATTTTCATTCTAATTCTCAGCCCTCTTTGTACCCCCTCTTTCTTCATCTCTCATTCTTACTATATCTTTCTTACTCCTTCTCTTTCACTGTTTAATTTTTGCTCTCTTTCTCACCCTCTCGTTCTCATCCTCCATTTCTCAGCCTCTCTTTTTCATCCGCTTTTTCTTCCTTTCCACTAAAATAGCTTACTCATCTTCCTATCCTCTTGTCAATCGCAGTTTCCTTGCCCCCACCAGCTCTTTCAAGTCACTGGGGGGAAGCGCCAAGTTACACTCCTGCCAGAATGATCGTTAATTGAATTTAATTTTGAATAACAGATTCATCAGAATTACTTGATGGATTTTATATTTGGTCTTTCTCCCTCTTTTAGAATCAACAACAGCAATATCACCCCGAGCAACCTCTCTCTCTCTCTCTCTCTCTCTCTCTCTCTCTCTCTCTCTCTCTCTCTCTCTCTGAGTTACCATTTTAATTCTCGGGCTTTACTTTTTATTTCCATTTTGTTTACCGTATGAATGCTGCGCGCCGCGGCCCTCTTACGTGGTTACTTCCCATCTCTTTCGATTGTCGTCAGTTTAAGGAGACGGGTGAAAAGATGAGAAAGTCGGAATAGAGTAGAAGAAGGAACAAAAAAAAGAATATGTCGTGAAAGAGACAAACTTGGAAAAGGTGTCCCAACAGATAAGTCAGTGACATCTAGCATCAGACTTCACGGAAATGTAATTTACCTCCAGTAATTGAACATTGGCTACTTGAATCCCGCCAATACTTCCGCATCTAGCGTTGGAATGAAGTCACTCGGACGGCCAGGCATGCGAGTGTGTGTATGTGTGCGAATGACGCGAAAAGAATAATGAGGTGTTGGAGGCGACAGCAGAGATCAATTTGATAATTCGGTAAATAAACAGAAGAAAGATGACCCAAGGAATAGAATGCACGGTGGTGGGAAGGTAAGAAACGAAACAGAAGATGGAAAGGAAGAGGGATTTTTAAAGAAATTGTAAGGACACTGATTAGACGGAAGAGTTAATCACAGTGAAGAAAAGAGTTTTAAAACTACGAAGAAATACAGAAGAATTGAAAAATACGAGAGAAGGGGAAAGCTGTTGTAGAAAAAGGTTACCTTATAAAGATAAAGAAGTTCAAAGAAATGTAGATTAAATCATAAAAAACTAGAAAAGCATGAATTTAAATGAGAACATTATTTAAAGCATATATGTGAGATGATTAAATGTTTCAGTCTTTAACAAAGAACTTGTTATTGATTTTTTTTTTTTGGCTTGATTTCGCCAATTTATCTGATCGTTGTTTGTGGTCGATAGACAGACATTAAATGCAATGTGGTTTCTCGACGTTGAAAATGGATTTAATTGTGATTTATATTTCCAGAAGAGTCTTTTGAATCAAAGAGAAATCATTGGTTCTAAATATGATACGCATAAAAACTTCGCTGAAACGAAAACTTAGGTTCCTTATTAGATGAGTACGTGTAAAACTTAGAATATTATAACAGTGTTGAATATAACGTTTTATAAATCATTTCACCCCAAGCAAAGCATCAAAGACACATGGAGTTACTGGGTACAAAAGAATATAAGTAAAAAAAGAAAAAGAAAAAAACATTAAAGAGCAAGAACAATAAAAGGACAGAAATTAAGAAAAGAGAAAATAAAATTTGACATTCGATTTAAATTTTTGAAGATCAAATTTGACTGGAAAAAATAAGCCGAAAGAGAGTTCCACAAGCGAAAAATGCCAAAAACGAAATTGTTAACATAGAACTTACGGTTACATCTAGCCATTCCAGCTGTAAAATGATGAGACCATGATGCCAATCTAACACGGCGCTTAAATTCATAGAATCTAGGTACCATAGTTGAAAGTTCATCAGACAATTACCATGAAAGTTTTTAAAGAAAAGTCACAGGGAAACTACAGCAATGGGAGAGTGACTGAAGCCGAGATGCCAGGTCAGAACCAATGATTTTGAAGATTCTTCTTTAAATTTTATCAAGGATAAAATATATAAATAAATATATAAATATATAGCAGGAGCACCAGATCATTTTGGCAGCAATATTTTAAGCATGGACGAACGGTAAACTTATAAACGAGTATGATAGATTCGGACGAGAAATATTGTCTAGCCCGACACAGCGAACCAAATTTTCTAGCAACAAGACTTAGCAATTTATTCGATACAATATTTATACTTCATGTGAACAGAAAAAAGAAGGCGCAAAGAATCACTCTCCTGGATGTTTGTTATGGTCCGGTTCCTTGTAAGACGGTGATAGTCCAAGGTAGAACCAATAAAGAACTCGAACACGGGTATGGAATAACACAGATATATTACAAAAAGGAATATATACAGAGAAGTAGAAGTATTAGTATGAACAATCAGGTTTAGTAGAGAGAACAATGTAGTCTCGACCAGTATCACTATTCCAATGTCTTGCAGTAATTGTCTGAACGCGACTCCGTTTCGGACTGCCTCTGACTCGACTCTTGACTCGACTTGAACTACTGACTCGACTTGAACTACTGATTGACGATATTCAGTCACCCCCGCCCCATGAGGGCGTCATGTGGCACAAGGCCGGTTTAAAGTGGAATCTCCGAGCGCGTGAGTTCGGCCAAAAATATGCCCATTGAACCCGTATGAACGGGTTCAGGGTCGGTTTACCTCCCCGAAAGAGAATCCGCCCTTCGGCGTAGCCTCTTTCGGGTGCCTCCCCGCCCGAAGGCAGAGAGTTCAACCGAACAGCCGGTCGAGAAAGCGAACGACTTACGATATTGAGTCACCCCCCACGAGGGTGTCATGTGGCACAAGGCCTTTTTAACGTGGGCATTCCCGAGCCATTAGGCTCGGCCAAAAAATAGCCCATTTGAACCCGTATAAACGGGTTCAGGGCCGAGTTACCTCCCCGAGGAGACTCCGCCCTTCGGCGTAGCCTCCTTCCCGTAGGAAGAGAGTTCAAACCGAGCAGTCTGTTCAAAAGCGAACGACTGACGATATTGTCCTCCCCCCAGGGGTGTCATGGGCTCAGGCCTTTTTTTAACGTGGGCATTCCGGAGCCATTAGGCTCGGCAAAAAAATAGCCATTTGAACCCGTATAAACGGGTTTCAGGGCCGATTTTACCTCCCCGAAGGAGACTCCGTCCTTCGGCGTAGCCTCCTTCGGGTTCCTCCCGCCCGTAGGAAGAGAGTTCAAACCGAGCAGTCTGTTCAAAAGCGAACGACTGACGATATTGAGTCCTCCCCCCCACGAGGGTGTCATGTGGCTCAAGGCCTTTTTAACGTGGGCATTCCGGAGCCATTAGGCTCGGCCAAAAAATAGCCCATTTGAACCCGTATAAACGGGTTCAGGGCCGGTTTTACCTCCCCGAAGGAGACTCCGTCCTTCGGCGTAGCCTCCTTCGGGTTCCTCCCGCCCGTAGGAAGAGAGTTCAAACCGAGCAGTCTGTTCAAAAGCGAACGACACTCATTGCCTACTCCTGAGGCGCAGTATTTATTAAGTATGGAATAGTCCATTATTATTATTATGGGTAAGACCTCATAACAATGCTGGCGGGAGGCAGAAAGAGTTCTCTCAGAAAATTAATAAAGAGCATTTTCATTTTTAAGGCGTTAAAATTAACCAGCTATTCCTAGTCCCAGTTAGCCACAAAATGTAGGTTATTTTTTTTTTAGATCTGCTGCCAATTTGATCTTAATTTAAATGCGATAGATATATTCCCGTATAGTTGTGATTAACAAGCTAGACTCAAAGGCCGTTATGACTACATTGAGTAGTATAATGTGACTTTGTGACTTAATCAATATCAGGAAACAATGGCTAGCAAAGTTAGTGTAGCAGATTATTACTGTTGCAGTCATTTCAATGCTCAGTTTGGTTGATTGGCTGGTTGTTTAGCGGCATATCATCCTCTATGGGTTATTAATACCGAAATCAAAATATATAATGTTATTATATATATATATATATATATATATATATATATATATATATATATATATATAGATAGATAGATAGATAGATAGATAGATAGATAGATAGATATGGGTATGATAAATAACATATACACACATATTTTTTCTCAGGTATTATAAAAACAGTGCTCAATGTATATATATATTGAGATAATCGTTGTTTAGTGATAAAAGTCTTACTAATTAACACATAGACGAAGGAGAAGAGGTGGATTCATACCTTTACCCAAGGATATTTGCGCGAAAGTGAATATAACAACCCCAGCTGGAATTCGGAATTCCGATTAACAATTCCGAGCCATTGTCCATTACACCACCCGTACATTCAAGCCTACAGCACCTGCTATTCCCAAGTGCTCACCCATCTAGATACTGACAGGCTCGACATTGCTTAACTTCGGTGATCTCATGGTAACCGGTGTTTCAACGTGATGTGGCCGTAAACCGTTTAATTCGGACTCAACAAATGTGGCCTTATACCAGATTAGGTTTTGGTTATGGTATGAAGAATGTATCTACAAAATGCCCAGCAATTGGCATTTATCTCGATGTTATTTCAATAATTACCTGCGATGTACAGCAACAATAATTACCTGCGATGTACAGCAACAATAATTACCTGCGATGTACAGCAACAATTTACAGCAAGTAAAATATTACTTGCTATTAAAATTGTTTGGATTTAAGCGATTTTGACAACATTTAATCCTAAAAAACAAAAGCGACTCCGACATACATTGTCTACGTATTGCTTTCCACATAGATTTTCATCTAAGATGTTACAACAATTCTAGGTTTTATGTTACAACGCAGTAAATACACGCAGGCTTCTAATTAGATCAACTTTTGAAGGCATCAGTAATTACATATTCTAGTTAAACTTGGATTTTCTTTTCAAATAATTCGGTGTGTGTAAGTGTGTGTGATTTGCCGTTAAAGTCGTGCGTATGGAAAATGGTCATAACAAGTAAAACGATAAATCTAGTTTCGCAAATGGTTACTCTGTACAATTCACGATTACAAATTGTTTTCATTTGAAAACGAACGTTAAGTTTTGTTGAAGAAAAATGAGTATTTTCATTTGGTTTCATCCACAGCGCTGTGTAGATTGCTGGTAGGTTTACAAGCTGCCTTAATTTATGACAATCTTATTGTACTTAGTTGTATCGTTTGTCTAAAACCAGTTAGGGCCACTAATATTCAGAATAAATCCGAAAACTTTATTTACAGTCTTTTCCGAAACATTATTTTTTTATAAGTCCTTATATGCAGAAGAAAGTCGATAATTCTCATTCCAGAAAGTAAGTACAGGCACAAAAGTAACATAAACTGTGTAGTAATATATATATATATATATATATATATATATATATATATATATATATAAATATTTATATATATATATATATATACAATACTATCAGTGAAATATTTATATATATATATATATATATATATATATATATATATATATATATATATATATATATATATATATATAAAAATTTGCAGGATATGTATTTCATAAAATAAATAAAACAAAGATTTATTATTAAAATATGTTATTAATAAGCGGAAAAACCGAGTGATTTCTTTTTATTATTATTGAATTATTTTACTCCTTTTTAGAACATTCAAAATGTCGATTCTTTTTTCTTGCGTCAGCCGTTGACTATAAATTACTATGGGAAAATTTAGCGTTCTTTTAAGGTGAAAAATAACTTTGATTTGGAAATTCTTATAAAAATCAAATTGTCGAATTTTAATGAAACTTCCAAGATTCATTCACAATATTATCTTTGTGTGTATATCGCAGACTTTATAAATGTGTCTGTGAGTTTATATAGCAGACTTTACAAATGTGTGTACAGAAGACTTTACAAATGTGTGTGTGTAGCCGACTTTATAAATGTGTGTATAGCAGACTTTATAAATATGTTTGTGAGTGTGTGCTGCTTATTTTGCTTGGCAACAGAAATAAATAATAATTCTAATGTATATTGATACTATTTCTAACCCTGACCAACAAGTGAAACTGGTAACAGACTGATAACCGGAAGATCTGATCCTCGTCTTTGTTTGATGCTTATAATCATAATGAGAAGAAAAAAGCATTCCGAGTAATTGATTTATATTTTATGAATCTACTGAAGTTTTTATATAAAGAATGAACTGATTTTAATGTCGCCATTTTGCAGACTAAGATTGGAGAAAAGATTTCACATTTGTTGTGAGTCTGCGTTTAACCGGCTGGTTAAACACTGTTACTTCTGCAGCAGTTGTAAATAGTTTGTCAACTGGAGGGTTGCCATTTTGTGGCCTCGTTTCTTCTCTGCAATTTAAAAGATAGAAAAAACCACAGGCATGTACATTGGAAGTTATTTTAAAATGAGACGAGGCGTATGTTACCGTCTTCCCCAAGTAAATTATGCAGTTACTTGCATTTGGTTTAGCACAGAAGATGATGACAGGACTTATGTTTTTATGATGGTTATCTAGTAAAAATACGTTTCAGAAGTTTGTCGCTTGATAAAGCTGTAACCGATAATGAGGTTAACTGAAGCAGGCCGTGTGCTCTGGTTTCATACTTTCTGCAAAATAACAGTATTTATGCGATACAGTTTTGACATTTTCACTTAGTCTTCTACTTATCTTCCAATCGACAACTTTACCCCACAACAATAAATGAAGGATTAAATAGAGGATCCAAGTAGTAGTAGTAATATTCCACAAATTTAGTCTGGTACAGAAAGATATGTGTTCAAAAGCTCTGTTGGATCAGGCTGTCCGTATTGGTCGAGTGGTCTAAGGTACGTCAGATCTAATGACTGTTTCCCCTAGAGCACGCAGGTTTGAATCTGGTCGGTGGGCTCATATTTTTTAACAAGATTTCTCGAATATTCAGGCCGGTAAATGTAAATAAGACTAGAAATAAAATAAATAAGACTAAGTATTTTATTTTGCAACAAATATTTAAAATAAAATCGATGCATTTGTCCTGATAAAGTCCCTCAGAAGACTAAACGTTTCGGTCAAGATAAGTTTTCCCTTTGTCTTTAATTATATTGTCCTTTTTACAGAATTATTCTATTTTAATGTTTTATAATTATATATATATATATATATATATATATATATATATATATATATATATATATATATATATATATGTATATATATATTGATGCATGTTTCATTAAATAATATAGACAAGTTGTGTCCATTTTATTTTAAGTAAGTTCCTTTCATATTGTCTGATAAGCTTAATAACATTATCATTGAAAGACGAAAGGAAATCATCATAATGACTTATGTAAGCCGAATGCTTAGATCGGATTTAAACACGTATCAATATGATGATTTCCTTTCGTCTTTCAATGATAATTTTAAGCTTATCAGACAATATGAAAGGAACTTACTTAAAATAAATGGATACAACTTGTCTATATTATTTAATGAAACATGCATCAATGAAAAATTGTTGCCTAAATATACACAATATATATATATATATATATATATATAGAGATATATAGAGAGAGAGAGAGAGGGTGGAGAGAGAGAGAGGTGGAGAGAGAGAGGGGGGTGGAGAGAGAGAGAGAGAGCTTGCCCGCACTGAAAACAAAACATTATCTTGAGATTCAGTTTTTTCAATACATATTTTTACCAAATTTTTTATTTTCGGAATATCGGTTAAAAACAAAAGGACATAAATTTTCAGTAACATAGTAAAACTGATGGATGTTAATGGCAGCTAGAAAATACCGATATTGGAATTCTTCTGTCAAGTCTATGGAAGGAATTTCCTGTTGAAGCAACATTCTGTTTCCTGGTTGCCATATTAACAATCTTGATAGATGATCAAACATCGACCCAACTCTGTGTGCTTGTGGCTGTGGTAAAGAAACCATCACAGCTGCACTGACAGAAAATACAAACGTAGTGATATCTCAGGCAGTTTTAATGCAATCCTGACTTAAGAAATTGGAATTAGTATAGAGAAAGGAGGAGGTTAGAGGTTTGAAAGAATGGAATAAAACGGCAAGAAGTTAGTGATATATGTTATTGGGGGGTGAGGTCAAAGTGATTACATGATCAATGTAGGAACAAAATAGAAAGAAAGACAGAAAGAAAGAAAGAAATATTTGATGTGTTTCGAAGTGTACAGTGAGAAGAGCGTGAAAAAGCCATGTATTCGCTCTGATTAACTCCAACTACAAGGTTCCGTTTTCATCAGATTGCTCAATTTTTTCATCGGACTGGGCGCTAGACGATCCTATCCGTTGGGCTTTGCCTACATATAATAGCGGGCAGCGAACCGACCGGACGGGCTTGGACCGTTATAAAGGTAAGCTAATAAAACGAGGACGGGCTTGGGTTTGGCGTTGTCTACGTTGGTTAAGGGTGGGGATAAGATGCGAAAGACAGCGTGAAAAGGTCGAAATTGGAAGAATCAAAAGACATGAAGGCGCAAAGAAAAGGTTAATAAACACCAATGTTGACGGCATTGATACCCTCAACCATTCCCAACCACTCCTTAACCGTAAGCAAACCCTTTCATTGGTGCATGGATAAAGCATCATTTTTAATTCTTCACCTTACTGATGTCTCTATCTCTATTTCTCTCTCTCTCTCTCTCTCTCTCTCATTTTTCTAACTCATGATTTTCTCTTTTGTTTTGTTTTTTTTTCTTTTTCTTGTGCTTATTTGTTCCTCCCTGTTTTCTTCTCTTCCTGTTTCCTTTCCTTTCATTATCTTTTTCTTGCTTTCATTTTCCAACCCTCCTCTCTAATTTCGTTTTTTTCCTCGCACACTTACTCTCTTTTTTCCTATTATATAGCCTCTCCACACTTTCGTCTCATCTCTCTTCTAATGACCACTTTCTTTTTTTGTGTAGATTCCTTTTTTCTCATCACAGTGACGCCCAGATATATTTTCTTTTTTTTTTCTCCCAAATCTTCACACTTTCCTTTTCTTCACTTCTTTATCACTTTTCTCGTTCAACGGCTTCTCTTTATGCGTTTGTTGTTCTCTCTCTCTCTAAACACACACACACACACACACACACACATATATATATATATATATATATATATATATATATATATATATATATATATATATATATATTCTTCCTTTCTCTCCTTTCTCTTTTTCTTTCTCTCTCACACTGCTGTTCTTTCTTCGATTGCTATTTTCATAGAAGTGTCAGAAGACATACAGTCTCAAAATATTTGTATTATGCCTCTTGCCGGCCAGAGGCACCTAATGAACCCCATATCCACACCGTCACCCACTCATCCACATCGACACTGGAATCTCGGCTGTGTTCCCGCCGCCATCTAATATTGCATAGCAAATAATGCCCGTCCCACTAATGCCTACCGTTATGCGCTGCAGAAAACAAGGAAACGGAAGGAGAGGAAAAGTCAAAGAAAATAAGAAACGGTTAAAGAAGAAAAAGAAAGTGAAAGAGATTGGTAGCCCCAAGGAGAAAGCGTACAGCAGTAGCACACAAACTCTATTGCATCTTTCTCCAAATGCTTTCCTGAGACTGAAATTCAATTTTCATTCGTTTCTCTTGGCCAATTGAGCAATTCTTTCAATCAATGGTCGCTGCAAATACAAGAATTTAATCGACGATTTTCTAATAATTCCCACACGTCGTATTCGTTCTTCGTCATCACAGATATCGGTTTGCTAAAATGTCGAATTGTCAACGTCTCTCGGCATAAAGAATTAGTACACAAGTCCGAAAGACGAACCACAACTAATAAAAATTGTTAGACTGCTTTTTTCCTTTATTTTTTTCAACATCCTCGCCGTTATCCATAATGAAGCTTGCAGATTAGAGTACATAGTAAAAACTGTTTTGTTTTACTTTGTAGTTACGAAACTAACCTTGCCCTTGAAACATTTGACTGTTTGGTTTCTTGATTTGCCCAAACCAATTAAACATGCAAGTATATTGCCAATGTTATATAATCGGCAACTGGGACTGTCATAGTCTATGTGTATATTTGTTTACACGAACGCGAAAAAGAAAGAACCACTGAAAGGTTTGGGCATGAAATATTGCGATAGAATGTCGTTTTATAAAGTAAATAAAGATAAATATCTAAACTACAATAAACAAATGCTAAAAATCCCTTGAATACTGAAAAAGATATGGTGTGCTTGTTTTTCTTCTCAATTTATTTTTTTCTGGTTATCTATATACAAAGGATATTGAAAAGTCTTCGGCCCAACACATTTTTCAAAATCAGTACTTTCATGGTTTGATAATTGAAATTCGGAGAAAGTGGATCGACCTAGAACTTTCTAGAAATTTCTCGTACATACAAAACAAATTATCTACTCTTGTTTAGGTTTACACTATTTATATTGCTCAGGCTGTTGTCCTCATCTTTGTTGCCATATTCACTATGTTTTGGCCGTTGTACGCTCCGGTCCTCTTCAGGTGATTGGAATTTCGAACCGAACCCTTTATTTTGTGCACCGGTATAGATTGTTCTAGTTCAGCGGAATACTTCCGGATACTTCAGTTTTTGTTACGTCCTTTTAACTCAAGTCTCCAAGGTTGTAGCCAGGTATTGAACTCACAACTCCATGGGTCAAGTCCCTGGATTACTTCCACCAAAGCTTTTATCCACTGGACCATGTGTCCTTGAGGACAATGTAAATAGTGTAAATAATTACAATACCACATCTCAGAAATATAGAGATATTTTTTTTAGGCTTTTGTTTATTTTATAAGAGTCAATATAGGTTCACTACATGGATATTACTAGTAATTCAAAATAGATAGAGTTAGAGTTGACAAATAGATACTTGGGAACACTGTCAGTAAAAGTCTAAGCGGTCTGAGTTATCCGGCCTGACTGAGTTATCTCACCTGACGGTATTTCTAACTCACCTGTAAGGTTTCGCACTGCTTTTATCAAACTTTGGCTGTGATGTACGTGCCTGGCATAACCTTATCTGATTGTGTATCATATCAAGCAGACTAGACTTTGTATATTTATATCACCTACGTCACTTTGCTGATTTGCTGCTCTCTCACTCGATAACAACAACAACAGCTAATAATAACAATAATAATAATAATAATAAACAAAAATGATTGACGTAACTATCCAATATTTTTCATCAGTTAAGAGCGCGATTTAAGAAAAGAAATAGAAAAGAAAAAAACAGTGTTTGATAATGTTAAACAACATTTAAGCAGAATGCCTGTCTTCTTCAAGCTATATTTTTTTTTAAATTTAAAAAAGCCATGCAACTGAAACGTGCTTAATAAGACGGTGATCTTATTTATCTTTATTCCGTTAGTTGATGAGCTTAGTATAAATGTTATGGAACTCTCATGTCATTCCGTTCATTCTCTCGGCCCAGGAAGTTAGTAATTTGCATACGTAACCATCCTCATGCGTTTTACGGGTCGAAAAGTCTGCAATAATAATAATGATAATGATACTCTGCCCATACCAAACAAGCTTAGGCAGACAAGCCCCGTACCAACAAGTGGTTACATAGTGCAGGGTTAAAAGCTTAAACCAAATATTTTATTCTTGCTGCACTGGGTCAATGTTTGATAACTAGAAATTACCAAGCACACATACTGAAAAATTTGTGTTGACCCCAAATGCAAATTTTGTGATAAATACTAGAAAATATGTAACTTTTGCAGGGAGGAAACTGCAAGAAATTGATATGAACATCACCCAAACCCGGTTACAATTTTATGGGACTTCACAATACACACAAACAAATCAATAAAAGCTAATCGCCCAGACATCGTGATCAAAGACCACAAAAATAGAATGTTCTTTCGTATTGACATGTTAGTCCCTGTAGACTCTAATGTATCTTTGAAAATCTTCAAAAAAACTATCAAAATGCAAGGATCTTGAAGTGGAAATCTAAATATGTGGCACATGAGAACATCAATAATTCCAGTTGTAGTTAGAGCCCTCGGCCGTGAGAATAATTGTACAGTTATCAGATTGTATTCATTAATTTCCTAAATTGAGAATTTGCCATTCTTCTTTTCCATGTGACTTGCCCCTTCAGGCCGTTGACAAACGTGGTTCTCCACACCATCTAATCTTTTTAGAGCTCTTAGCACTCTTTGTCTTTGCACTATCCCTCCTAATCCTTGTTCTGTCAACCAATTATATGAGCTCGTTATGTTGCTTTCTTCAATGCCTCTTGCTTTCAATATGTCATATAAGTGTCAAATTTTCAAAGCCTTTTTCCTCGTTATGTGTCCCAGAAATTTCAATTCTGTTTCTGATTCTAAGTATAAGTAACACTTTTTGTTTCCATTATTCTTAAAACTTCCATGTTGCTCTTTTTCTCAGTCCGTGGTAATCTCAGTATTAATTTGTAGAACCACATTGCCTCAAGTCTTCTTTACACCTGTAAGAAAATTAATTGTCCATTATTCTTTGCCATATAAAAGGACTGATATGACATCACAGTTCAGCACTCTTTTCTTTGTTTCTAACGAAATTTTCATGTTTCTTAATATTTTGATTAATACTTAGCATCTTCTGCTATATCAATGTGCTTTCAGATTTCTGTGCCACATTTTCCAACATCTATTAAAACACTTTTCAACTTCTATACTTTATTGATCTTGGTTTCTCTAATTCGTAACTCATATCTTGGGTTTTTCTCTTGCTGACAACCATACAATCTGTCTTCTTACAATTAATTATTAGTCCTTTCTTATCTAGAAATTCTGCTGTCAACACTGTGTTATCTCCCTATCGTATGTACTTAAGATTGTGTCCACTGAAAATAAATCCTGATAGGATTTCTATTGGGATAACCTCGCTGTAAATGTTGAATAAATACGATGAGGAGACATATCGTTGTTTTACGACCCATTGTATGTTTGTGTATTTACTTAATTCATTTTCTATCTCTATTTAGGCGGTCTGTTTACAGTTATCCTTCCAAAATAAATCAAGTTAAATCAATTCAAACAGATCTTTGTGCCGTATGTTGTTAAACGCTTTTTGTGCAATTTGTGAAATATAAACAATTTGAAAGACTTTTGGTGCTCCTTCCGATCATAAGAGATCATTTCTTGAATCACATTTGTTCTTGTCTTATTTCCAGTATAATTCTACTTCCTGTTGTTTACATTAGAATTCAGATTATTAGCTTGGTTATGTGGCTCAAGCTGTTTTCCAATGCATGCAATTGCACCTTCCTTTTTAGACAGTGCTACGAAAATTGATCTACTAAATTCTTCTGTCGCCACTGTCATATATTTTGTGATTTCCGTAATCTTGTCGATGACGAAATCGTATAAAGCTAAGAGTATTTCTATTACAATCCTGCTGTTTTTCACTTTCCATCTTGTCTAGTATCGATCTTACTTCCCACGTTAATATTTCAGGTCATTTCATATTTTTTGTGTATGGTACGTTTCTCTTTATCTTTCTCTCTCGTCGTGAAATGGTTCTCTAACGAATTCATTCCATCTTTGAAGTGTTTCTTCTTTTTCTATTGTGAGTGTTCCCTCTTTTGATTTTATGCAACCTGTTAATAAACACATTTTTAGTTCTATTATGCTTACTAGCTCATTCTTCCTATTTTATTATAACACTTTTCATTGAGCACTTCATGTTTAGTCTGTCTGCATTTGTTTGGAATTTCTCTGCTTAATATTCTATAATATGTACCATTTTGGGCTCAAAAATGTCGTCCACTCCTTTTATTCCTTGTGATGATATTATTTGCCGATATCAGAGATTCTCTCAAAGTGCCCCACTTTAAATTTCCAGTTCCATGCAAGTTATTATATTGCTTTTAATTCTGTCAGCATATAACTCTTTGTAGTTTGGGTCCTTCATGAGCCTGTCGTATTATAGTTTATGTGTTGTTTTGGATTTCTTTAATTTCTGTCTCATGCTTTTTATTTTCCATCAGTAATTTTTATCACAAATTATTTTAAGTATTTCTTTTAGGAAGTAACCTGTCAATATTTCACAATGCCATGTTGATGTTTACAGAAATAATTTCAAATATATTGAGATAAAAAAAATATTTCAGATTGAGAACCTTCATAAATATGCTAAGTTCAAATAAATGAATCTAAAAAATATAATATAAATATAAAACATAAATATAAACAAAAATAGCATATCTGTATCTCTTGTTTATTTTATAAACCATTTATTGAATGTCACATTAAAAACTTAATATTAACTCACATAAAGCGAGCAAATTAACTTTGAAAAGGACAGGCTAAGGTGCATAAATCATGCGAGTGTCGTAGGTTCTCAAATGTCAAACTGAAAAGAGTGTATATCGCCAAAAAAAGCTTAAAGAAAACAACATCAAAAACATCTGAACTTGAACACCGACGGATTCCTTACTATTTCCGGTAGAATTAGACTATGACAATCTAATTATAAGATAGAAAGAACTAGACAAAGAGGGATATAAAGATATATAGAAAGAAGTAGACAAATGGGGTTATAAAGACAGAGAGAAAGAACTAAGCAAAGTGAGTTATAACGATAGATAGAAAGAATTAGACAAACAGGACTATAAAGATAGATAGATAGAAAGAACTAAAAAAAAGAGGGCTATAAAGGTAAAGAGAAATAACTAGACAAAGAGGGATATGGAGATAGAAAGAATTAAGCATAGATAGATAATATATTCTGGTAGTTTCAAGAAGGCAGAAGTCAGTGTTTGTCGAGAATCAGATTGTATTGTCTTGTGTGACCTTGATGATAATGAGTTTCTGTGAGACTTGAAACCAAATATAAATCAGTCACACACAAACACGGAATGAATTTAACAATAAATAAAGAAAATAGTGAAATATAATTAATACCAAATTATGACAGCTGCTACCCAAGCGAGGGAACAGTAACACAGGGCACAGACCTCGCGGCTAATTCATCAACCGAAAATCGCTAATCCTTTGCTGAATTGGCTAATTTCCATCGAGATTCTCGCTTCGATATTCAACGTCGCGTTTTTTCGGCGTGTCCGTTGTGGTTGGGTTGTGACATCCGAACAAGGATGAAATATTGGCTGTGAGTGGACGATTCTCAGCCCTAATCCGATGGCGGTCGCCTTGTTGCATGAACATTCCGGATGAAATACTACTTTTTAGGGGAAAGAAAGGGGGAGAAATAATGGATAGTGAAGAAGACGTTGTTGACATGTCCCTTAAGAGAAAAAGATATCTAAGAATGTTAATGAAAGAACGGAAACGAAAGAAAGAAATAAGGAGCGAATTAATATTAAGAAAACGTTGGCTTTTACAGTGTGTGGAAGAAGACAAAAAAAGGTAAAAGACCACAGCTGACATGGTTTTGTTGATTGAAGAAGAGAAAATTGAAGCTGTAAATAAATAGACCTAAAACTGATCATGTAGATTATATTTTTGCATTTGTCAAAAACGTTCGATAAGAAAAAGGAAGAAAATTTACGCTAAGATGGAATTAAAATAACCAAAAAGAAAAATTATAAAATTCTAAAATCAACGTTAAATTGGACAGAAAATAAAAAAGGGGAAAAAATCTCCCGCTTGCTGTACAAAAAAGCGTCATGTCTTTGATAGGCAAATAAACAAACATTTGTCGATGCCGAACAGAGATGGATACACGGTAGACGCCCCAAAACGACTGTTTGTCTTCGTGTGTGGAATCTGGAAGCAGTGTCTATGTAATACCAAAGTTTGTCAAGGAATCAAATGGTGGTCGGCCGATGGATTTGCCTCTCCTTGATGAAGTCTCTTCGTTCAAGGAATGGTGCACGGTTTACTGATGCCCGGATCAGATGACTGATATTTGTCTTTAGGTAGTCTTAAATTTTTTTTTCATTTCTTTTTTATTCTGTCACTTTTTTCTTTTTTTCTGTAATTGTCTGAAGCCAATTTTTTGGCTACTTCATCATTTTCGATGAAGAACTCGAAACACGGTCACAAACATATCGATTACCTAACAACACACACACACACACACACACAGACATTTATGCAAATACGTGCGTATGCATATAGAATTAGGACAAAGCATATTTATTGTCGTATTTTCGTTTCTCTCAGAAGACGATACAATATTTTTACTTATTCCTTTAAAAATAGGAAAAAAAAATGATTTTCTTGTTTTATATATCAAATTTTGTTACCACTAATTCAGTTAAATTAATTAAAGATATTGTAGTCTTAATCCTTAAAATGTAGCTGGACAATCCACGAGAAATTTTTATTTTAAAATTATTTAAAATATCAGTCAAAATCGGCTATACTATAAGATATTATATTCGAACATAAGTAAAAGTGCTACGTAAATGCCTTCATGTTTCGATGCATATCAGCCGGCATTAAATGAGGGTTATTACAATTTTTAATATTTACTTACAAAACAATCTCTTTCTCTACGAAAAAAGAAAATAAGAAAAGCAAGAAAGACAAAAGATATAATCTCTTCTAAAAAGAAAAAAGAAAGAAAGACACAAGATATAGTCAAAAATAGAAAAGGAAAGAAAGACAAGATATAGTCTTCTAAAAAAGAAAAACGAAGAAAGAAAATAAAATAAGAACCAGAAGGGAAGATAGACACAAGATATAGTCTCTTCTCCAAATAAAAGGAAAAAAGAGAAAGATAAATAAGATAAGGATGGTGTAGAAATGTAAAGAAGCTAGACAAGATGTGTAGATAACCGCCTCAACCAATCAAAATAATTTAAGTAAGGTGTCATGAAACATAGATTCAAAATTCAACGGATACATATGAAATATTTGAAACAGAATTTTGATACAATGTAACGACAAACTAACGGTTGACATTTTCGCTGAAAAGCCAGCACAATTCCCAGAGGAAACGAAACCTATAGAAAATCTCATCCAAAATACAAAATTACACAGAAATCATTAAGAACCTCTAATTAATGTAAATGAAAATGAAGAAAATAACTTGATAAAAATAAAACAGAAGAAAATTGACATCATTAATAAATGAATTACAAAACCTCATTAAAGCCTTAAAAACCAGCATAACAAATATGGAAATATTTTCCACTACCAAATTGAACAATATCCCTATCACTGAAGAAAAAGGAAAAAATGTAGCACAAACCAATACGGAAACATATAGATCTACCTCATGAAGAAAAGAATAAGCCAAAAACTAACTCAAAATAACCAGATACAAATGAAAAGTTTGAAAAACTCAAACAAATGGAAACACCATTACAGTATAAACCCGTTAACATAACATGACAAACAAAATAAGAATCTTACCATGGAATTGTAGAGGAATTAACGTAAACTATAAAGATGTAAAATGACTTCTGACTGACTATAACACAAATTTAGTTTGCCTTCAAGAAACACTTTTGAAAGAACATAACAGTGTATCCTTTAAAGGATACGAAACCTATTTTAAAAAAAACGTACCAGCAACCAATAACAGATCAACAGGATTATCCTCAATATTAATTAAAAGAACAACTCATCGCATTATACTCCACCAACCTGCAAGCTATAGCAGTTAAAACTAGTCTCCGCCGTACCTTGAGTATATATGCTCACTGTATATTCCACCCAGTTATAAACCAAAACAAACAGAACCAGACCAATTAGCTACTTACTTAACTACTAACTCTATTTTTATTGGTTGGTGATTACAGTGCTCACAATAAACTTTGGATCTGTAAGAAAACTAACCCCAGAGGCCATATCATACAAAGGCTAATAAAAACTGTTGATTTATGTCTATTAAATGACATATCTTACACCTATATCCAGCCAGTATTTGGTTTCATATCAGCTATTTATTTATCAATCTGCTCCCACATCAACCTTTATAGACTTCCAATGGGACATGATGATCAATGTGGAAATGACCATTTTTCAATCTTCATAGATAAACCGATACCAAATGAGAGAGAACCTAAGTGGCAACTACACACGCCATACTGTGCCAAACCTTAATTAATAAGAAACAAATCCTCTAACCACTTTCACACAACTAATCAATATAGCAGATAAAACAATTGTCAAATCATCAGCGGATTCACACTCCAAATGAATGTAAACAAGTTGTCAAATCCTCGAAAGAACACATCACAAAATTGAACACCAATATTCCAAAGAAAAAAGTATGAGATATGATCAGGAAAATATGTGGTCAAACATTAACTACAAATACGTATTTAAAAAACAAATGGGGAAGCCTACACAGAATGAAAGGTTATGGCAAATGTTCTTTCTGAGGAAAATAACTCCTGGACAAAACGTTACTCCACCATATTTAATAGATTCAATCATATTAGAGAAAAAAATGAATTTTGAATCAGAAAACGATAATTGCAACACCCCATTCAACATGATAGAACTGAAAGACTCACTTAACAAAAGCCATAACATAGCCACGGGACCGGACGAGATACAAGTTCTTGAAGCACCTACCAGAAAACTTCTTTTCAAGTACTACAATGAAATATGGCAAACAGGTAACTTCTGTGAAAAAAGCTACAAATCAATCCAATTATCGCCTCATTTCATTAACAAGTTCTATATACAAAACAATATAAAGTTTGGTAAATTCTCGATTAAAATGGATATTAGAAAAACATAATATTCTAATACCGTATCAAAGCGGCTACCGGTAGAACAGAAACACCTCCGACCAACTTGTCCATATCGTTTCATTTATACGGGATGGCTTCATCCAAGGGCACCATTTTATTGCAGTCCTTGTTGACCTTCGAAAATGTATAACACTACTTGGAAATATGATATCCTGAAAAACATATATAACATGGAGCTAAAAGGTATATTAACTACATTTATTGAAACCTTTTTGTTAAATCGGAATTGTTGAGTACAGCGTGGAAGAACAATATATGATCGCCACTATCAAAAAATGTCTGTACAACAAACAATGGGAGTGTACCACAAGGCAGTATATTATCAATTACTCTGTTCATACTGAAAATTAACAGCATAATTGGTGTAGTGAATACCGGAATCGAAAAGTCTTTACAGACAATTTTTCTATTGGCTAGTCATCCCCGAATATATCAACGACAGAACGAAACTACAAAAATACTTTAATAAAATAGAGAATGGACCAATTTTCTAAAATTAAAAAAGTATGTATGCACTTTTGTAACAAACGATCATTACACCCTGATACTCAATCAAAAATAAATAACAGCCTTATACAATAGCCCAACAAACCAAATACTTTATAATCTAAACTTCATACCTGAGGCAGAAATGCATAAGGAGCCTAAATCTCTTAAAAGTCATATCATATAGGGATATATTGTTTTATTATTATTAGCGTGAACCTTATGACAAGATTCAGATTAATTCAAATCATTAAACCTATTTTAAGTGTGAACCGAGGCTCGGAATTTTTAACGCAACTTTATTAAGCATTAATAACAAACTTCTCATTAAGTTTATATTTTAAGCATGAAACTTGTGCATCATACTTCAGAATTTGCTCAGATAAAATTACCTGATGCTAATTTGAAAAATAATAATGTATTGATACTCTCAAGTAATATTCAACCTATATAGTGAAGCGGTTCTGAGAGAATTAGAACTCCTACAAGGATTTATTATTGGTGGTCAGAATCTTAACAATACAAATGACAGTGTTGATAGCAGATACAGAAAGGAAACGACAAGAAATCCTGCAAAATTTAGTGAAGTAAAGCGAGAAGAAAAACTAAAGGTCAATTGCAAGAAGACAGAATATATATTGGTTAGCAAAAAAAAAAAAAACAATATGCAAATTACAAATTGAAGATTCCAAAATCAAACAAATACAACAATTTAAATGTCTTTGAAGGGTTTTAACAGAGGACGGAAAGTAAGACACTGAAATCCGAAGACACACTGGCATAGCGAAAGTTGTCCTCCAAAAGCTAAGCAAATTATAAAGAAACAGAAAAATTTAGTTAAAAATAAAGAGTACTGAACTGGCAGTCAATGCTGGATAATCTCCTCGCAGATGAAAAAAAGGATTGAATCAACAGAAATGTTGTTTTACAGAAAGGTGCCGAGAATACCATGAATTGAAGATGTAAACGACGAAGTTTTAGAGAAAATGGATACAAAAAGGATATTTATGCTCATCAGGAACAAACAGTTGAAAATTTCTAGGGCACATAATGAGGAAAGAGGACTTGAGTAACTTGAGTAAATGGATGATGGAGCAAAGCTTAGGAAAAATAACAAAAATACAAAATTATTAAGAGCTACGAAAGACAGGAAATAGTAGAGAGCCACGATCGCCAACGTCCTGAAGGTACACAGCACATAGAAAACGAATGTCTTTATTTTGATCG